ATTAGCAGCTGGAAGAGTTTATACCTGAACTACTAATGAAGTGAAAAATTACTCTTGAAGTTGCACTTATAGTTTTAATAAAATTAAAAATAGAGACAAGTGAGTTAGATAGAGATTTAGCTTTAACGAAATATTTAAAAATGTATAGTATACAAATATTTAATAAAGTACATATACCTAACCTAACTTAGGGTTAAAAAAAACAAAAAACAAAACAAAACAAAAGAATCAATCAAAAAAACTCAATTACTTATAATTCCAAGTTCTAAAACTTTAATAAAGAAACTCATTAGTAATACAATTTACAAAACTAGTATTTTCTTTTAAAATAATAAAATAAGTTATTATATATAAAAATTGAAAACTATAAAAAAAATATTATTAAAAGTAATATTAAAAAAAAAATGAATTGCTTATTGATTATAAAAATGAAAATATTAAAATAAAAGTAGTATAGATTCAAATTAAAAATATAAAAAAAGAAAACAAAATTTAAATAAAAATAGATAATTAATTTTTATCCATAAAAGTTAAACTAGTAATTATTATTATAATACTCTTGATAGTTTTAATAGATAGCAAAATTGAAATATTATAAAAAATTAAGATTGTATCTTTAAATAGAAAATACTTGAAAAAGAAAAACAAGAAGAATATATGAAAAATAGTTAAAAAAAAAAAACTCTTTCCCGTACTGATCAGATTTTTGAAAATTTCCTTTTTTGAAAATTTTCTTCTTTGCACAAAAATGGACTCAAAGCATAGAGTTTTGTCAACACAACATGCCTTCAAAAACTTCCTCGACCAGAACAAGACAAACACAAGGCTATAAAGCCAGCAGTTCAACCAAAATAGCAACAAACAAAACACAAAACATGGAGTTAGAAGAATCTCAAACTCCCCCTCAAAACACTTCGAAACTTAACTTCAAAAACAAACTAAACATCAAAACAAACATATATAAACAAACACTAGATAACGTACCATATTTTCCATATGGGTTTGATGCAGACAAAGACTTTATTGATGACTGGTTTGAAAACACACAAACATGCCACAACACACCACAAACAGAACCTGAGTCAAATATCGAAGAAACACAATCTTATCCTCAATACAATCAAGATCCTATCGACTGGACTACAACATATGGAAGAAAATGATTTAAAATGATCATTTCAACAAATGAAATACCAGGAAAAAACAACAAAGAAAAACTTCAAACCATCCAAAAATCACTTTTGCATCTGGAATCTTTCATTTCCATTCGATTGAACAGATCCAATCAAGGCTACACTATCACAGCATTGTTTGAGACAGAGTCAGATGCCAAAAAAGCAAAGCACATCAAAATCGATGATAATCTTACCATTCACATGCAACCAATACCAGTTTACAATGGTGTAGAAACAAAACACAAGACAATTAGAGTATTGGGACATCCCCTTAAGCACATCACGAGCAGATATTCATACTGCCTTCACTAAATTTGGAGAAATTAAAGCCATAAAAATGCAGATGATCGGCATATGGCAATCAGCAAATATCGAATATCAGCAATAACAAGATTATGACCAAATTAGCAAAAGATGGGCAATTCCATTTAGGGGTGACCTAATCAGAATTTTTCTCTTCCTAAACACAAACCAAATCAATAAAGAAAGGAGCGCCTATGCCTTGAGACTCACAAACCTTCCATCTGGCATCACCAGCCATTATTTGAAAAATATTATCAATGAAACAAAAGCTTAAACATACTACATTCCTAGAACACAACAATACAACAGAAAAAGGTTCACCATACTATGCTTCATGGACAAAGAATCACTGCAACAAGCAGCATACACACCAGTTTATCTGGGTACCACACAACTAGCATGGATAGATATCTTTACGAAAATCTGCAATATCTGCTCCAGCACAAACCATTTGCTTAAAGACTGTCCTATCAGTTTGAGATAATAAAAGACATAAAAAATAAAGAAACAAAATGCAAAGAAGTTTGGACACCTCTATACTAAGTTCAAACTAGCAAAAAGTGGAGCAACCAAAACACCCACCACCACTTCAAACACCCTCAACAAATCTTCATTTGCAGACATTATTAGAATGCAAAAACAAGAAGAAACAAGTAAAGACACAAATGCCAACAACAAACTAAAGGATGATGCAACACTCAAAGATATCTACAACATTCTCCAGTACTTATGCCATGAAGTTAACTCTATCAAACAAGATATATCACAAATAAATCAGCGTATAGATGATCTAGAAACAGACTCGCAAGATCTCAATTATGCTGTTGATGAATCAGAAGAACCTAAGACCTACAATATCGAAGATACTGACAACCTCAGCACAATATCCAACACATCTAGGAAAAGACATGTACACAGCCCACTTCAAAATATCCGGGCAGTACAAGACAAATTAACACTCAAAGCCAACAACTTGAAAGATTCCTTGGCTAAAATCATGACCTTCTATGATCTACAATCCACACAGGAACCTGGCTCATCACAGTCGAGAAATCGACAATGACTCACACTATCAATTATCAAACACCACTCCACCAATAACAATATATGAAACATTATAGTCGATTAAGCCTCTTGGGAAACTAAGAGTCTTCCAGACTTCTTTAGTACACATTTTCTCTTTTTTCTTCTCTTTTAATTTCAACACCGACTAGTCACAAGACTAGTACAAGAGACTTCCAACATCGGATGGTATTGAGACTTTTGTACAAGTCCTAGTATGTTAGGCCCCGTTAGTGGATGGCAACAAGTCAATTGGTGGGTATATTCGTGTATTTTAGATAATGTCAATTCTTTGATTAAGGAATGTGTTCAGCAATGCACAACCGTGTGTATCTGACATATTCCTACTTTGTTTTTAGAAGAGAGTATTTACACTAGATGCTAATATATTTTCCTTATCCTGGTTAGGTTAAACATAGATCGAGTCATATAAATAGTTAGCCCTTTGTACTATTTCTTTCTAGTGATCTGTAAATCCTTAGACAGTATGAAAGAATGTTAATCCCGATTGTCCCTAAATATGATCTTTTATTAATAAAGCACTGGACAAGGCATAGGATGAGTCAGTTATATAAAAAAAAAATAAAAAAAAATAAAAAAATAAAAATACTGAATATTATAAAAAAAAAAAGAATTTATATTTAGAACTAATAAAAGTTAAGGTTCACTTTAATAACTTTTATAATAAAAAAACTGATATTATTATAAAAAATACTTTAAGATTTCTTGTAATAGAATAAAAAAATCTTGTTTTTATAAGATAAGATTATTATAAAATTAAGTATTAAGATATAACAATAGAGAATTCTATAAATTTATTTATCAAAAAAATGAATGGCAAAACAATAGTTTATTAATAAATAAAATAAAATCAAAAGAAAATAAAATTAATAAGTGAACTATCAATGTTAATAATAGATATGTGCTATGAAGATTTAATATATTAAATAAATTGATTATAAAAAGATTGAATATATATATATAATTATAATACAGTATATCATATATAAATAACAAAAAAAAACAATAAAATACTTATTAAAGTATTTAGCTTATAAAGATTAATAGTAAAAAATCTAGAAAAGTTCTTTTGAAAAAAAAAATAAAATAGAAGAAAAGTATGTATAGTCAATTATAAAAACAAAAAATAGATAAAAAAGTTAAATAAAAAATAAATTAATCAATAAAACAGATTTCAAAAACTAGTCAAGAAATACTTAATTTCTACATAAATCTAATAAGAAAAGATTCTATAAAAAAATAATAGAACTGAAGTATCAGAAAAAATAAATTAAAAAAGTAGTCAGAAAATAAATAGTAAAATACAAAAAATATCTACAATTACATTAAAAAAAAAAATCTAAAACCCAAGATATAAAAAGATGATCAAATGGAAGCAAAAAACAAACTTATTAGTCAAAACAAAATTATAATGATTTAAGTAATAAAATTAAAAAAAAAAAAATTAAGAAATAATTGGATTTTGATTATTATTATGATGTTAATAGTTAAAGAATTTTCATCAGAATTACTAATAAAGTAATAAATCATTCCTGAAATTGCACTTAGAGTTAAGTTAATTAAAACAAATGAGTTAACTAGAGTTTTGATAACATATACAAATTGTTTAATAAAGTATACATAATTAATCAGACAAAAAATAAAATAAAATAAAATTGATAATTCAATTTGAATTTATTTCAATAAAGAATGACCTTGATAACATAAATGTGAATTTTTTTTAAAAATAATTTAATAATGAAACTTTATAATTTTTATCTAAATTGAAGAAACTCAAACTCTTGTATATAATTTATTTACAATATAATAATGCTTAACGTCAATGTTTTCGATCACAAAGCCACCTCCCGATTTATATAAGGATAACAAAGAAATCCTGTAAACCTAAAATGGAATTATTAAATGCGTGTATGAAGATGCACTACTAAAAAGGAGGAGACTGTGCATCAATTGTAAATCGATTAATTATTAAAACGTCATCATTTTAATATTCGGTTACCATTCATGCCTAATTTATTTTTAATGTACGCAATATTTCAGGAACAAAATCGAGCGAATCAATTGGCGAAGTCAACTTTAATATGATATTACACGTAAAAAAAAAAAAAAAATACAATAAAATCAATTCTATTGTAGAATCTTGGTTTAGGAGACAATACGAAGTTTTAACGATTGAACATTGTTAAAAAAAAAAAAACTAAACTAATTCAAGCCAAAATACTCCAGTATAGAGTAGCGATCATATGATCTTTCTTATCAAAATAAGACTGAAATTCTTGACATTGGCATTTTAGTCCTGTAAAAAGGGTGCATTGGTAAGAGTTTAATTTGAGAGGAAGAATAACCATTTTGGTCAAAGAATTTAAATTGCCTTGGCGTTTTAATTATGAGGGCTTGTCTTTAAAAATATTAAAAGAATATTTGATTAAATTGCAATAATTAAACTTTATGCAATGAAAAAGATATTACCTCCGACCGTGTGACATGCAAATCCTCATTAGGAGTTTGGGGATCAAGTAGTGAATGTTGAGATTGAGAAAGCTCCATCTCATCATCCGAATCTTTATCCACAACTACAAAATCTTGCGAAGAATCTTCACTATATGCGATAGAAGAGGTATCAGATTCTTCGTCGGAATCGCAAAGTTCCGAATTATTTTCAACTTCTGCCTGATTTCTCACAAATTCGGTAACAGCTAAATCAGGAGAAATGGAATCTTGAAACGGATCCTCTTCATTCTGAAGTTGGTTAACTTCGGAGAAAGCTACCGAATTAGAAATTGATGACAATTGTTCCGAAACTGAATTAGGTTGCACAAACTTCGGTTTCTGATCATAATTCAAGACGGGAAAAATCATAGATGATGACGACATATTGGAGGACTGTTCGTCATTCTCGACAATTATATCGCACCAAACATGATGACCGAATGAATTTCCTTGGCCATCAGTTAAACACCAACGTCTGTAATGTTACAATAAGTTATTTATTTTTGCATAACTCAATATATAAAATAAAAACACTCACGATGTATATCTTCCAGGCTCAGAAGGAGCTCGGAGGTCAGCTGCAACACCACTGGATTTACCGACTTCAAGTGAACCAACTTTGAACTCAAATTTTCCACTCTCAGAAATAGAGGCCATTGGTGGTCCACCAATATGCTGTAGAGTTGTGCTTTCTGGCCACTGTAAATTTCGTAATTTAGGGGCACATTAATAAAATTAAGTAGAACAATGACCAGATGAGTGTATGCTTACGTTAACATTCCCATTATTAACCATCCTCCAGATCTTGCGAAATTGGGTCTGTGGCTCAAGTACGGTGCCATCAGGAATATTTACATCCTCAACAAATAGGGCGTCCAAAGTCGGCTCAACTTTGACCTCCCGTTTTGTTTCCGGTTCAGGTTTGATTTCGTCAATGGTAGTAGACTGTGATGTGATGAAATTTGCCGGAGGCGACGCGGGTATACTAGACGCAGGAACATACGTGTGAATTTGAATCTGTGGTTCCAGATTCCTAACAAGCGAGGGTGTCGAGATATTTGATACCCCCGAAAACGTATAAAGATCAACAGGAGCTCGGCTAGTGACGGGAAGATCACTTATTATAATTAAGTAAACAAAATAAATATAACAATAATCAGGGTGTGAAAAACCGAGGACTGTACAATGCTTACGCCGAGGGCTCAGTGTTAACGAACTTTTTGGAGACCTGAGGTTTTTCCACTTCCTTGTTGTCTAATTTTTGTTGAGATGATGATTGTCTACGTCTCGTTTGATGAACTCCAAATTCTGAACGAGAATAGAAATTTCGGAGTAAAGGCTCTGAAGCAGAAAGAGGTGATGGGACAGGCCTTCTGAACTTAATGAAGACATGGTCAGGATTATGTTTAGTTGCAGGCGACGCTTCGCAGTTCCCACAAAGGTCAAAGTCAGCACAGTTGCCGCACTATCAATTACATCGCGCATAAAATGATTAGAGTGCGTAAAACACATTGTCAAAAATCACTTTAACTTGATTTTAAGAAGTACCTTGAATCTAACACCGTTAATCGGTTTTCCGCAGCCATCACATCTTATTCCAGGATGAAACGCGACATCTAAAGAAAGAAAATCTGTCAAAGTCACAATAATGATAGCACAGATATAGAATAAAAGAGTATATTGTACCAAGAATTTTGATTTCTGGTTCACCGGGTCGGTGGATTTGCATAAATGTGTGGTTAGGATGTTGAGTGGGTGCAAGAGCTAAAAAACGATTTCGTAATTTCAGAAAAGTAATTATTTGTTATAAGACATATAATTATGGTGATGCAAAATCTTACCAATACAACTTTGACACAAGTCAAAATCGGGACAATTAATACATTTGTGACGAACGCCAACGATTACTGACTCACAATAATCACACGTTGCTGAATGTGCATTTAATTTATCTAGAGATAACAGGTAAATGAATTTAATAATAAATAATTTAAATGCATTGATATAATGTGAGATTTGGGGATTACTTACTAAAATGACTGCTTGAATTAATTGGAAAGGCGATTTTCTTGAACGAATGTGAATGAATAGTGGGGGATTTTGGTTTGCACGCTTGACAAAGGTCATAGTTTGGACAAACATTGCATTTATATCTTGTTCCACGAATGATTGCTTTACAACAATCACAGATCACTCCGTAATGAACCGCCGGTTCTGATCACAAAAATAAGAACTTGATAAAAGATCAAAAAAGAACTTATCATTATTATTCCTTTAATTTATACCTGAAGATTCAGATTTGGGCGCTTGTCGAGTCTCGGTAGAAGACTGAAAACTTGAAACTCGTGTTGAATCCTTGGAATTAGACCCTTCATTATTATCATTGGTGGTTTGTTGTGGCTGTCTAGATCCACTCAGATTCAAATTTGATAGATCCCTTTCTATGGCCGTGCTGAGTTGATTTACAAAGTTATTTACCATTTCTTGCACGGTTTTTATGCTGGTGTTAATCACTTTTTCGAAAGGAAATTCTTCTTGATAATACTGTTCATCATTGTCATTATCGGAAGATGGCGCGGATGATGATTGTGGCGCAGTCTTTATCGCCTTTTCCAAACACAATTTGACGGTAAATCTTCCATTAGCACAGTTATTACTGAAATAGTTAATAGCTTCTTTTAAATCCGGATCATTTTCAATAACAATCTTGTCCCCCTCGGTGTCAGTATAACGAATCTTATATTCTTCGACATCAAAAATTTCTGAAAGCTGGAAAAGAGGTAAGATTTATATTGTAAATAAGCATGATATTGAGGTTACTGAAGAAATAAAGAATGCATACTAAAATATATATATGTTCCGGAATAATTTTTTATATAAAAGCGACATATACCTTTGAATAAAGAGCTGAATAAGAAACTTCTTCAACACTAGGGAAAGTGAAACGACGAAGAATGGTCGGCTTTTCAGAACAAAAAACTTTGAAATACACAGTTGACATTTTTTTTGCTTAGTTTTTACTATTTGAAGTCACTATAACAGAGGAAAGTGATGATGATATATGTACAGAAGGAAACGGAAAGGTAAGTAAAAAAAAAAAAAACTAATAGGGCGGATTTCTTATAAAGAAATTTAATAAAGACGAATCAGAGAAGTACTTCCAAAAGAAGAAAAGCCAAGAGAAACTTGAGGCTTAAATCGACCAAATTTTATATATTTTAAAAAGGTCATGAGACACTGATGACGAATGCTATACATTGCTTACGAATTCTGTGATAAATCAAACTTGAAACTCGATTGCGTAACCATATTAACCTTTTTGATTGATGAATATAGTCAAACATACGTGTTCGTTAAAGTGCTTAAATGTTATTAATTGCAATATATAATTAACTATTTAAGTATATTTCCAATAATCAAAGAAATGGATTTATTTTTTTAAAATAAATAAAATTTAAATAGTATACTGCATATTTTATTTTTTTAAAACCACTGAAAAGATATATGATAATTAAATCAAAAAGATATTTGCAAAAAGTTTTTTTTTTTTTTAATCCACAATTATGTTACAATGGTATATCTTTATTAAGATACTAAAACAATATCTAAATATTTTACAAAGTGAATAACTCATCTTTTTATATTATTAGTTAAAGGATTACATACTTAAAAAATATAGGAAATCTATTAAGTTGATTCAAATTAAACAAAATTATGTCACAACTAAATACTTTAAATCAAATTTAAAAACAATATTATATTTTCAATAGATTAATAACAAATCTTAAACCTATTTGAATTATTGTTAACAGTTTATTACTAACTATAAAAAAAAAAAAAAAAAGGAACAATTCAAAGCATTTTCAAAAAATTCTTTTATCTATTTTTTTTTTTTTTTAAACCTATAGTCAAGTTAGCATAGTATGTTTATTAATCATAAATTTTTTTTTTTTTTTTTTAATGCTAGCACATCCATGTTTTATTTGAATATAGTATTTTTTTTTTTTTTTTTTTTTTTTTTTTTGACGGGCTCATGCCTAACTTTATTGTTTTCCAAATTACATATATACATTGCACAAAGTGCATACAGGGGTGTATATTCGGTGACTATAAAGATAATGATAAGCTAAAGCTATTTCTAAAGCTACCTCAAGGCTTATTGTCCTTTCTTTAACAAAAGAAAAATCAGCATCCCTAGAGCGTGTTGGTGTCTGAAAATAATAATAAAAGAAAATAAAATTAGACGGTCATGTACTATTTTGGGTGGGTATCAGTTTTGTTTCTTGACCCATGCCTGTCTTGTTCTGAACTTCCTTGTAAGAAGGCCTAGGAAGAGATACTTTTACTAAGTCTTTTACGGAAATAAGTTGGAGACCATTAAGGAGACTTTACAGTTTTAAGGCTTGTGGAGAGGGAGTAGTCAAGAAGGTCCAGATGATATATTGGTGCCCGCATGAGCGACTTTAAAGTCTTCCAGTATATTGTCAATTAAACCTATTCCTATCTAAATATGGGGATACTTACCCATCTGTGCCTCTTATTTCAGATTTAATTCCTTATTAGGATAGCATCTAGCCTTGTGATAGACATACCCTGCTGGTGGTCGTTGGTATTAGTGATCAACAAGGATCTCCCAGATTATCCGGCCACTCGCACGTCACTATTGACATTTTCAGACTCGAGTTTCGATTAGTGAAGTGGCATTAACCTTCCAGTCTTCCAGCTTGAAGTTTTTTGAAGATAAAATGAAAACTTCCTGGGTTACTTTGCACACGAGCTTTACCACTGAGTATCCTTGATAGCTTCCTGCTTTTTCTGGTTTAGACTTTTCTGGGCAGTAGAGATTAGAAAACCTACCTGCCATGCAATCAGGAATAGGTGGCTCTGACTTGAAAAAATGTCAATCGAGCATCTTGTGACCTTTACCATAGTTAGACAGACCCTTTTCTTGTATCCAATGATGTGTTAGTGACATGTCCTGTATCCACCCGCACCAACATATATGACTTATGGTGGATCCCAGGTTCTTATGAAGTTGAGGAAATACATTCAAACACGTGAGGTGACCAATAGGAGCTTGTTTATCAATCTTGTCCAACATGTTTCATGTCATCCAATCAGAATTAATGAGATTCGTGCTACCCAAAATTTCAGGGTCAAGCTGGGCTAAGCAAAATTCCCCAAAAAGCCATGAAAAAGGTAGCTCTAAGAGGCCACAACCCCAGTCGAAGGGTAGAAGAATGAGTCCTTTGATTGGAATAAAACCTCTGTTATCTTCACTATAGCTGAGAGATGAGAGGTACTCCACAATTAGTCCTTTTCCCCTTAAAAACTTTCTTGCCATTGGTAGTAAAGGTGGGAGCTGAACTTTGCAGACCACAAGAGTTCAGTTTTATTCAAAGGAGG